GGGTATAACCCGGTGGCACCTATTTACAAAAATGTACTGCTCGCAAAAAACCATCGTGGCATACGTACCTTTGGTAAAAGTCTCGAAGGCTTCCTCCACCCTGCGGCAGTAGAGATTTTCCCTTCTCGGCGATAAGGAAGCGCGTAGGCGACTGCGAGACGCAGCGATCGCACTGACCGTCACTCATCACTGCCTCATCGTCCGAAGAGAAACTCGCACTGCCAAGAATGTCCAACGAAATGACTAATTCATCAATGTTTTGATCCATCACATCATATTACTGAAACCCTTCTCCAAGAGGGGTTGTTTTGTTAATCTTTTGGACAACCCCTAATGCAGAAACACGTAAGCTGTCTTTCGTCTGACCCTTCTTACTCATCAGTTTATCGGCAAACTCGCACGACCCACGAGAGAAAGACCGAGACATAGAGCGCAATGTTGTGACAAAAAGAGCAGGCAGGAGGAGAAATGTTTGTAGTTTTGGAGGGGGAGGTTTTTTTTTGACATTGGTAAAGCTATACATAATACATCCAACATGCAAATTGTGTAGTAATAATAATAATAATAATAATAATAATAATAATAGTCGTACAATAGTAGTAACAACTCATAAGACTAACAATAATGGTAAAATAATATAAAAACTGACTGATTCATAAAACATTAAATTACAGAAAAAGAAACTTCAGACTTAGATCAATTAAGACCACACTGCACTGGCACTTCGCTTCAGTTCACTTCACTATGACCCTAAAATCACTTCCCTCATTATTTCTCTGGTCCGCTCTACACTGCACGACACCTCACTTCACAATATGGAGTTTTAGCGCCAGACGTAAGGAGATATCCTTAAACCCTATTGATCACGTGACTAACGCCATTATACAGTCGTAATGATCAACGTTCAGAAGAGTTTTAGCAATTGCAACATTGCTATATGCATTATAACAAAGGAAGTATTTCAAGCGTTGAACACAAATTGCATAATATATCAGAGAGTGAAGGCTAGTGATGAGACATTTAAAACACGTTACGAGTCAAGAGAACAAGAAGGATACATTGTGCATGGAGTTTTAGATTTTGTGGCCCTCGGTGATGATTATGCAGTCTGGAATTTTGAATCTGCTTTTCTTGAATATATAGGAAATACCTTAAAACAGCGTTCGTTATGAGTGTAAGACATAAACCTATCGCGAAGATATGATTTGAACTCCTTTTTCGAGAATTTATTTCCTGTCACCTCTCCAACATATCTCGTTAATTCTTGCCAGCGTTGTGGAGTTGGTAAGGAATAATTGTAACTGCGTCGCATACAAGTATCGGTTTACCAGACTTGGAAAAATTCAACTTTTCCGGTTTTTAGGCGTCCATTTTGCCGCTTGTAAGGTGACCGTAGACTCCCACAGACGTGCACTGTTTATGAAGGTAAAGGTCTTACCTTACGCCTAAGGTAAGGCGTTATGACTTCAAGGTCCGTCACGTGACTGTTAGTGCATAACGCCACTACCTTATGCGTGGCGCTAAAACTCCCAAATATATCACTAATGCGTCGCTGTACGACTATGACTTACTATTTTTAATTAAGTCCCTCATTTACTTAGTAATACCCTAAATTCATTTCATAAACTGTTAAACGCTTCGAGGAAAGGGTTCAAAGGTTTTTGCAGTCAATCTATTCCATTCCGTTATCGTTCGATTTGTGAAAGAAAATTTCCCCACATTCGTTCTCGGTGTTTTTAAATGTATTTTGTGTCTGTGATCCCCTACTGATGTATATTCCTACTAATGTATGTAGGAATGCATAGCCGCCGATTAATTTCTTTCCAAGTTACATGACCGCTACGCATAAGCTTTATACAAAGCGCAGTCTTGCTACTGATTGTTTTCGAGTGAATGCCAACCTGCCATTTCCTTGTCCCTGGAAGTAAATATAGCTGCCCTGTGCTGAATCCTTTCCAAATATTTACACTGCATAATTTTGTGCGGACCCCAACAAATTGTTCCATATTTCATTATCGGACGAACAGGCGATAAATAAGCAAGTTCCTTCGCGTTTGCCGTAGTCCTTTTTAAGGTGCGCATTACAAAGTGAAGAGATCTCCAGGCATTCCCTACAACAAAATCTACGTGACTTTTCCATCTTAATTTACTATGGAAACGGATTCCTAGGTACTTGCATGAGAAAACTCTCGGAATTATGTCGTTATTTAAACGGTAATTTGTTTCTCTGTAATTATGACTTCTGTCAAAAATTATGCGTTTATAGCTATTTATCGTCATTCCATTATTTTCCGCCCTGTAATATAACGCATCAAGATTCCGTTGCAGCATGTCTTCAGCTTCTTTCAAATTCAAACGATATATTATGCAATCGTCTGCAAATAGCCGAACTTTTGAGATTAACTGCCCTGACAGGTCGTTGACGAACGCTAGAAATAGAAGAGGGCCAATGACTCTCCCCTGACGTAACTCCCATGACTTCCTGACGTAACGGTTGCCCCGGCAGAAAACTCTTGCCCAATTCGAACTATGTTTCCTGTCTCGCAGAAATTCGTTAAGCCATGCCATCACCCTGGGATCGATACTTGAATTCATTAATTTCTGTACAAGCCTATCGTGTGGAACGACATCGAGTGCTTTGGCAAAATCAATAACTTGCATATACTCTCCCGCCCGCGTCCATTTCATCTGCTAGATCCTGAAATGGCGTGACTTCCTGACTTTCGCATGAGTAACCACTCTTGAACCCGTGTTGGCCATCATAGAGCTATTTTGCTCGCCAACTGCTTGTGCACATCTTACAGACAATCAAGGATGATTTCACATACAAATTTAACATCAGAACTGGAGGCCATCCAATACATCGCATGATGAATGCATTATCTTATAACATATATTCCGGACATTAATAAAGTTGATTATACAATTTTATTGAACATAGAGAACATTGCAATATAAACGTTAAGTAAATAAACGTCTTATCTCAACTGCCCCATCATGTCACTGTTCAACAATGAAAATCTCAAATAACCATCGCTTCAACAATGCCGCGTACGGAGGTAATGTGAATTTATCATAGGTAATATCACGAGTGCTTTGAATATTGTCGATGATTCCCCGACTCGCGAAGCGAGCCGGAGATTTATTTGAGTATTTCCAAGTACGAGTGGTATTTTCAGGACTATTCCACGAATTAAATTAAGTCCAACAGAGTTCCAAAATCCCCCAAATATTGATAACGGAAAGCTATGTTAAATTCAAAGTGGTTATGTCACTGTACAAACGGTTTATGGACATCAAATGCATCTCCTGCTCGGTGAGCATGGCGATGCGATCAGAGTTTTACGTATTAAACAAGGTTCACCAATTAAGGTATCTAATCAACATCGTACTATACGTTTATGTATTCCATATTACGATGTACATACCTTCTGTACCTTTGAGAATTGCTAATTTTGTATTCCTTGCCCTGACAATAATACACAAAAGTGCATTGAAACATGAACAATGCACCTAATTGTTTAATTACAGGTTGATTTCCTGTTACTTTCTAGCGTACTTGGGAACTAAATAGAGTTTTTGAAATCTTCCAAAGGACATTGAGAGTTTTCACTCACACTCCTTAATCATATTACTGCATAAATTATCAATTTTAACCTGAAAAAGATTTAAACAAAAAACTATACTCTTATGTTTTTATTTATCTTTTTACCCTGATTTACAAATTACGATGAAAAGTCCCTAAAAAAAAGGAAAAATTCCTTTGTGAAGCTTATTAATTTCCCCTGAACCTAATTAATTTTCGAATAAATCAACTAGATATGGCACAATCATGTTCAAAGAATCTCCTACTTAATTCATGTTTACTGATTCAGAAAATTGAAAGTTTTGAAAACTGTCATTATTATAAAATAAAAGTGAATCTTTAAATTTTTAGACCGCCATCAAATTCTGCCAGTTATTTGAATGTATAGTTGTAAAACACCTGCAATAGGTAAATAGGAAGATGCATACAAGTGTGTGAAAGATGTTTCACACACTATGAGAATGAAAAAAAGTGTAAATTTAATCAACATATAAATCAAGCATGAAAAAACGTTTTGCAAAAGGAGTGTTAAGAAGTTATTTCTGGGGTAGAATTAATTTGTAATTGTGTGAGCACTACAATTCATACATTGAATTTTGTAAGGTAACATGAGATAAGCATGTAGATGTCCATTAAATCCAAATTGTGAACAAATAAGAGCTGCCCTTTTTTGTGTGTGTGTGGGGGGGGGTGCGTGCAAGAGAAATCTGTAGCAACTGTTCTTTACAATATTTAAGCAATTTCCAATCCTTGATAATTTTCTAGTTTTTAAACAGTGATATGCTGTTGCCCCAGCAAAACATGGTCACAGGGGTAAGTGCTGCCTCTTATAAAGCAACTGTGTACATAAGTACTTTAGTAAATATTTTAAAAAACTGTTTAGATAAAATAAAATGATTTCTTGAATAGTACCATTTTATTCCAATTTATTCCATTAAGTTTCCCATTCCATTTTCTTAATCTATAATTACTGTAATTATAGTAAAAGATGTATGTCAACCAAATGTAAACTTATTTGATGATTTGAATACTAAAATAATTGTCTGAAAACGGAATATTTTGCACTTGCCTCAAGTGTTTTTACTTGAATAAAGAGATCTTTAAGGACCTCTTACCCCTGCAGACAGGAGCAAGTGCATATCAGAGACTAGCAAATTAGATTATTAATCAAAATAAATGTATGTGTGAAAAACATGAATTTGAATGTATATTTCAAAACAAAATCATCACAAGATCATTTGAGCGGGGGAGATTTTAGCTTCAAAAATTAAAGATTTTACAGTCCCGTAAAGTCAGACTTTGTAAAATCAAATGCGCACTTACTCCACATTACCTTAAAAAAGAAATGGGAAATAATTATTGCTTTTTACTATATTGTTAGTTTTAATATTTATAACACTGTATTTTGTTGCAGTTCCATTAGTGTCAAGAATTCTACCATCTGATATTTGTTATATTCATAAACGGGGGTCTTCAATTCGTCTTGATACAACATTGGTTGACTTCAATGACATGAGATGGGAGAGAGGAGATATAACTTTCTTATTTAATGGTGATAGGAAACCAAGTCAATCACTCACAGTTCTTGATAACAAAGCAGAATTGTACCAGCGAGTTCGTTATGAGGTATGTGGAAATTATATTAGTTTTGATCATTGATTTTAGAATGAATATTTTACAATAGCTTATATTTAAATATAATTCAGGTAGGCGAGTATGTTGATCACTAAATGTTTTTGAGTTCTTGCCTTCTTGAAAGTTGCGTCTTTTTTTCCTGGATATTCTTTGTCATTAATTCTCTAGGACAATGCAGCTACAATGTTAAATATAAAATGGAATTTTTCTGAAATTATTTCTATGCTCTCAAGACCTTTCATCCACATCCACTTGTAAATTTTTAGAAAGAATATTGTAGCTAGATATAGTGTTTCAGATAATGTGCAAAAACATTGTTTCTATATAAAGGTCATTATTTTAGGCATAGTAAAGCTCACCAAGAAAACGTTTTGAGCAGATTCTGGGTAATCAGAAGGTTATTGGACAGATTAAGCTTCATTTTTATTATTATTGTTATTATTATTGTTGTTGTTATTATTATTATTATTATTATTATTATTATTATTACTACTACTACTACTATTGTCCAAGTCCTTTGCAATAGAAAAATAACATATATTTTGCATCATATTTTCCTTTCTTGATTTTTAGATGGGAAGCATTGTTGAAAAAGTCTGTGGTGCAGCAATTAGTGTTTATTCAAGCAACAATTGCTACAGATATGTTGTAACTAATGTCCTAATTATAAATGGTTTCTATTGTGTAATATTCAAATTTTCAGCGATAGTTGTCAGTTATTCATGCCCACTTAAAACTTATTTGCACTGTAACTATTCAGAACTTATTTGCACTGTAAATGAACTGAATTGCTGCTCTGCATTGGCATTTCTAATGGTATCCCATTGTTTTGATATTCATTAATATGGTTTTGTTTTATCTACTTTTTTGTATTTGGTGTGTAAATTTTAGAGCCTCCACCTCGGTTTATTACATCCCATTTCCTCTGGCATCATTTTCTTTTTCTGCACTCTTCCCTTGTATATCTACTACCTATTAAAGTTATATATGGGAGGGGGTGCGCGCTTGCATGATTGGGTTTATTAAGAGAAGCGTATAATTTCAAACTGTTAGTTTATTTACTACTTAAAGGTATACACCAAATGCAGAGACTTGTATGAACGTCACATCCGCCTGTCTGTCACATACCGTCTCTGTGCGCACTCTCACAAAAAATGAAGTGCGTTTAGAATTGAGTTTTTTGCAGTATTTACTCACCACGACAGTGCTTTCAACTCCTCCGCTCATTAGCCAGAGCTGAAATCAACAACGGACAGATATAAATCATTGCCAAAAACTGCCATTTTCCCACAATCGGATTCCACCTCGAAGAGACGTACTTCCGTGTATAAGCAATGATTAATCGGCCCTATGTGATTCAATTTGATGAATCATAAAGTAAAAAAAAATTGCTTGCGTGACTATAATTTGGAGGTTAGGAAATATCAAGAGCTGCGAAAACGCTCAAGAAATCGGAAAAACTCGTCACATTTATTCACATCTGCAGTATGTCACTTCCTTAATACAAAATTACACCCAAAATCAAGGTTTAGAATAATTTTAGTGCAATAACAAACCAATAACGTAGAGATTCATGTCAACACTTTCACTCTCTTCCGCCATCACCCACATTTAAATCTTATAAATTCTTCTTTATGTTCAATAGTACAGAAAATTTATGTTCATGGAGTGTTCTGAGAAAACTTCCTTTTTTTAAAATGAATGTCTCTACTGCTAATTTCTTACATTTTTTAAATCTGAATTTCCTAGTTTTTCTACAAAAAAATGGATGAACTAGTCCCTTTTTATTTGCTGTCAGAGATCATTCCTCTCTGCAACATCAATAATCTCTAGGAATGCACAATAATAGAAATTACCTTTAGGAAAAATATAAGAAAGGAGTGGATTGGTTTTCAATGTAAATTAAAAAAAAACAAAAACTTATGCCAATATTATAATTCTGCAGAACTTTCTCTTCAACTTCATATAAAGAATTAATTGTATCCAGCTAAATGTACATAATATTTTTTTAACCGACATTTCATTACTTAAAGTTACATAACAAATTCACATAAAAACAGTAAAAAAAATGTCATAAATATTGAGTTTTCCCCAATCTAAAAGATTGGTTCATTATGAACTCAAGTTAATAGATTTGAACTTCTAAAAAATCTTTTATGACAATACCTGACTAATAAAAACAATTATTGTCATAATGTTGTAATTTCTCATGATATTCATCAGATTTCATGTTTAAACTGTGCTCTTTCTGCAATCATTTATCTATCCTTAACCTGCGCACGTGCTTTTGGTCATTAATTTAATTTTTTTTAATGGACACCAACATTCAAAAAAATCGTAATTCGAAAACAATTTGTTCATCAATATAAGTCCACCAACTACCAATGCAATCGCACAATTCACGAAAAAATGCAAAAGAATCGTAATTCAATCGTAACACACAGTTCCTGCTCCTGTCCTGAGAGAGGCATCAAAGAATAAAGTAAATATGCCAAGGATGGTGTATGAAGCAACGTTGCCAAGAATTGATTCCATATTTAACAAGGGCTAGTTAAGCTACGGTTTAGCGGTCATTATTGGTAAAAATTTAATCCATCCTTATTCCAAACTTACACTAGAAGTAACTATTCCTGCAATAAGCGTGTTATAACTAAGTTACACCAAGCTTTTTTTAATAAGGCTGATAGTCTTCTATTTTGTCAGAATTATCACATGGCAAATAAGTGTCCTGGGACCAAGTCCTATTACTTCATATAAAACCATTTTAAGATTACAGATCAACATATCCACATCATTGCACAATTCTTATTCTGTCCCAAACAAGAATACTTTCTTTTTCTTATCAGTTTTTATTTTGAGGATGACTTCAAGCAAACAACTGTGTTTCATCTGCACTTTCTATGTAATTCTTGGTTTGTAACATTTGCGTAACATTATTACACAATTTGGTGGCATATACTTTCCACTTTTAGTTATGTAGCTCTCCTCAATATTATTTGCCTTCTTTCTAACATATCCTTTCCATTTTGCAGGTTTTCATTCTCTTTTTACCTTGGTGTTTTAAACATGGAATGAACTGAGTGTAATAAGTCTATTATAACCTTTGTAACAACAAAACTTAAGTTACTATATTTATTTACTAAGACTGTAAGAAAACTCTTATTCTATTCACTATTTACCAAAGCCACTAACCAACAAGAACAAAGCATCCATTGTTGTATGGGATAGCCCCTTTTCAACTGAGATGTCTGCTAAGCTATTGTAAAGTGATGTCGAAACCCATTCAGTTAATTTTAATTGTAATTTAATTTCAGTCTAAATATAAGCCATATTTATTTCTTAAATACAATTGATATTCTCAAGATTTTGCAAGAAAAAAATGCTATACAGAATTGATGTGGGTAGTATCCACACTATCTTTACCTTTCTTGTGTAAACGCTTCTTTTCATCATTGGGCATAATTCATTGTGGATCATGGAGTAATTCTAAACTACCCTGGCCTGTGAATCCAATGATGTATTAATTGCCCCAACAATGGTGCTTATCCTATTGCCCTGCCAGTTATATGGTGGTTCTTGAAAGTGTCTCATAGATTCTGTTGATAGTTTCTTGAGCTTGTTCAGTTTGGTGAGAATTATGATATAAATATAATTATATCACTTCTCATGATTGAGCCCTTTACTGGCTCTCCTAATACTTCCTACTTTTGATCTTGAGCAGTATTCCCTGATACTGCCAATTGTTTTACAATTTTTAAATATTTGCTCTCGTGAAACACTTTTCTTTCCTACTTTCAAATGTTTTGGTTTATCTAAGTTTATAAATTACTTCAAACACTTCAACAGTACAAAAACCACAGTTACAACTTTTTCCAATGCAAACTTATGACTGATTCATCTGTTGTGCAAAGTGATACTACTCTTCCTACAAGAGTACAAATCCAGACTTTTGCTTCACAGAGCTCCAATCTTTGAGATAAAGATATAACAAACTATTTGCAGACACAAACACAGGGACGGCCATAGACACATGGATGAATGGCCTCAGTGACTGACTCGGAGATTGTTCAAATATACTGGTACATCAATGAAATTATGTGAAATCGCACTTAACAAAATATTTCTTCTGTGCTTCTTCAGAATAAAAAATGTAAAATTAGGCAGGCGCTAGCCTATTACTTGTATCGCTTTTTGCTGTTCAGCATGTAAATAAGGCCAGAAGGATAAATATTGAAGAATGGAAGGTTAATAAAAACAAAGCATTGAGAAATGCTGAATATCCCTACAAAAATATCAGTGGTCATTTAATACCAAGAAAATGTCCAGCTGTAAATATAGATAAAATAGCCGTCTAACCATATTCTATGAAATATTAACATTTTGAGGAAATTCCCCAATGATATGTATAAATAGAAAGTGTAAATTTCTTTTGTAGTAAAATACACATCATTATTTTTTGGTAAGTTAATGTTTACCAATACCAGCATAATTGAAGCAAGATTTCAGAAGATACGAAAATGAAGTTGTCTCAAGTCTTCTACAAACTGGAAGTGCATAGCTTTTTACCACTACTTCATTCTAAAGAAAAGTGTTTTAAATTAGTATTTTAAAACTCTTATTAAGTGGGATCAATTTTCTACTCTGCGATGAGATTTTGCTCTCATTGAGTGAAAGAAAAACCATGTCTGTTGGTATGATATAAACAATGGCTTCAGATTATTGTTCATGCTAATACATTATTGCCTTTTACATAAATCAGGATGTCTTTATTGACTTTCCAGTTGCTGAAAACTGTCTCGTAAAGCATCTTAATTTGAAAATAATTTCATGGTACTGGATACAATTTTCAGTACATGAATCCAAATCAGTTCATCCTGTAGAATGCACTTAATTGAGGTCATGACAAAGTTACACAATTAGAGATAATCAAAGAGGGGGAAAAAAGTGATTCAGTCCCAGAAAAACGTTTCTTCCATTTTGCCCCACTTTATATTACAGATTTACTAATAAAGGAAACAAAGATTTGCTTCACAAGTGTAAAATTTATCATTGTAAAATATTGAGTGTTTTGTGAAAAATATCATTTTACAATTGATAATCTTTGGCCATACTCTGCTAAATGTGTTGTAAACTATTGTATCTTTCTAGTGTTAATGTCTATGTTGGTTACATCACTATTCTTTTTGTGTAGTTAATCTGTTTTCCATAAACAGACAATTATTTTTGTTTAAAAAAAATTAAAATACAATAAATGTCACCTAAAATCTAATGAAGTCTAGTTTAATGTAGATTCTTTTATATGTACACATTTTGTTTTTAGTTTATTTCTCATAAAACTTTTTGCTAATTAGAGCCCTTCTTAGGACAATTACTCAGTTGAGTTTATTTATGATGGTCAACTATTCAATTTTACAGAAAAGAAACAAAAATTCCTCATTCAGTTTTCACCCACTGTACATTCTGTTGATGAATGTGGGACCTTTTTAATTTAGCCTCATTTTTATTCGTATTACAGAGCACTTATTTTTTGTTTAGGAAACAGAGGTTGAAATTGAAGATGAAGTTGACATTTTAATGAGTAGTGACATCATGGCAGCACAGATGTCCACCAAATCTATTACTTTCACACGTGCTCAGACTGGTTGGTTCTTTAGAGAAGACAAGAAGGTACGTCTTGCTTCTTTTATTAAATTACTTAATAGTGTTTCTGTTATTTAAAATGTGCATTTATGAAATTTAAGGAAATGGTTGGATCATTCCATTCTGAATTTTATGTTATCAATGGAATGCTTCTGGAATCCCGTAAAAGACGAGAACATCTTTCAGAGGAGGATTTACAGAAGAACAAGGCTATAATGGAAAGTTTTACTAAAGGCAGAACTCAGGGATTTGATAGCAGTGAGGTAAATATTTTTGTTTACGAATTATCTGTTGTGGGAAACATTACCAGTAGATGTTTTGGAAAAGAATAATAAATCTATTAAGAATAGTTATTTCCCAATCTATTTCCTAGTTTCAGATCTATACTTAATTCTGTGTTTCAAAATGTGAGCCATCTTTACATTACTGAGTCATTCCATTTTAAGTGGTCCAGAATTATGTTGCCTCACTATCTCAGATCTCACTTTGTATATAAATTCCATTGTTTTGATTGTTCAGAACTTTTTTTAAAATTTATTTGTAATCAGACTCTTTCATACAATGTGCAAATACAGAATAAAATTTAAAAAAAATATGACTCGTGAATATCACTATAACAATACAAATATTATAATCACTCATAATGCAAACTACTAATACGCCATTCAGTAAAAAAAACGTTATGCCAGTCTCAAACACTTTCAACCTTATTCATTTATCATCCTAATCATTCTAGAGATAGGTATTTGCGTGGTGCGTATTTGTGTAAGGTTGCCATGAAAAAAGTACCTTTATTTCTCAAGCGAATTGCTGAGACAATTCAAATAAAAGTGGGGAATCAATTCCATCTATTGCTCTCTTAAACACAAACAAGATACCATTGAAGTTACGAAGAGACAAAATAGAGGGCGTATGTATCGTAAAGGATATGATATGATATGGTAATTATGATCAATGTAAGGGTCGCGAACGCTGAAATGTGTTCTAACAATTCTGAAGAACTTGTGCTGAACAGATTCAAATTTAGCAGAATGGATGTGAAAACTTGGAGACCAGACCATGGATGCAAATATTAGAATAGATGTAAAAAGCATCATATATAACATTTTTTAAATGTTTACCATGTTGAGTTTAGCACATGTTCTTTGGACAAAACCAAGGATTTGATTGGCTTTATTAGTAGTGTATTCAGTACGGTTAATGAACGACATTTTAGAGTCAAAGTATACACCCAGATCCTCAATTGCAGAGACACATTCATCAAAAAGTAATGTATTCATGGTGTATTAGTAATTACCTACTGATTGGGAACGAAATAATGTAATGTATTTGCATTTGACATCATGTATTATAAGATCCTTCTCTCTACACCAGGCTGTTCCAACTCGGGTTTCCGCGGGTGCAGGCATCCGTGTGCAATCGCGACTAGCCCAGGGAGAGGTTGTGAAGGGGCAAGCACTCATCACTTTCGCTTTTCATTATAGCAATATGAGTAGTGCGATGACTGACAGAGGATGTCTCAACCCCATATCTCACTGGATACCATGCCATTACTGATGCTGTTGGAGATAAGATTTGCAGAATTCCCTACTTCTGAAGGACAGATATTTTAGTATCCTTAATTTGTCACGATATCAGAATTTGCATATGGAAGTCTTCCCCACCAAGCTTGATAAAATGCAGCAAAGATTATATCTATGTTTACATCAACATTGTTGTGAGCAGCTTTTCTCTGAAATGAAAACAATAAAAATAAAAGAAAGAACCCAGCTTCAGGACAAGACATCGAAGAGTGTTCTATGCACCACAACAGCTGAAGAACTGACACCAGATATTGCTTCATCTGTTAAGAAAAACATCTAAAATTAATTTCTTATAATATTGTTGTTGAGTTGAATTGAATTTCACATTTTCTCTTAAACTTTAAAGTTTTCTCTTTTGTGTATGTACCCTGGGATGCCCTCCGCTCTCCAACCTAACTGCTCCCTGCTTCGGCTATCAGCTATGAATTCTCGCCAAAGGCCAAGGCCAACTTGTGCCTCGAGGGTTCATGTTTCCCCAGGCGCCGGCAATGAATACTGACAGCAGTCTGTGCCTGCCAATCTGTGACAGTGCCCGCTGTGGCTCACGGGCAGCTGAGTTGGAACAACCTGCTCTACACCATTTAGCAAATGCATTTAGCGCTGTTTGTAAGGAATGTTGTTCATTTATGCACATGATCAACTTAAAGAATTTACAATCTTCTGCAAGTAGGAGCAACTCTACATCTGTAACCGTGAGATGTCATTTATAAATAGAATAGAGAGTAGCGGTTCTAGATGAGATCCCTGAGGTACTCCAGATAGAACTGTGACCCCTTTTGAAATGGCATTTCATATTTAACAAATTGGGTTTTGTTGGTTAAGTACTCTGTAAACCAAAAGCCAAAAATTAGCAGTGGACCAGAAAAACCAAAAGCTGTCAATTTTTGTACTAGGAAGTTGTGATTGACCAAATCGAAGGGCTTGCTGAAATCTGCATGCATATTGCCAACCTGTTGTTTATTTTAAAAGCGTTCAGAATGTACTAGGTATAATATACCTGATTTGACACTCTTCCTTTGACTCATGACACAAAGTTACCTAATAGTGAGGTATGGAAATATTTTACACATGATTTTATCAGTTACTATTGATTCAAAGAGTTTTGGAATTACACTCAAAATAGATACAGGTCGATAGTTGTGTGGCTTTTATTATCTGATTTTAAAATGGGAATGGTGAAGGAGAATTTTCTCTCAGAGTGGAAACAACCGTCAGCTAAAGACTTGTCAAAAACAATTTTCAAAAATTTGTAAAGTAATAAAGCTTCTGTTGCTTAAAAAAAATCGAAGGTATCCCATCTGGTCCTTCGTTCCAATATTTGTTTAGTTTGCTAATTTTATCAAAAATGTCAGAAACATATGTTAATTAAAAAAGAATTAAATGGAGTTTGATCATCCAAAGTAACATTAAACTGATGATCAAGAGCTCTATAAAAAGATTAGAAATATTCTACAAAAGCATTAACAACCAATTTATATTGTGAAATGAATCAGGACCAAGACGTGTTGCTTTAGATAGACTATTTATGTTCTCATTTTAATGCATGTATTTCTAAAAATTATGAGAACTAAGAGTAATAATGTTTTGTAAATTATTGTTAATGCCCCTTGCAGCCAATATTTTGCATGTATGTCTCAAATTTGTAAACGGTGAAAAATATAGGGGAGAATTATAACGCTTGTCGTGTAAATGTGCTTTTTTCTTCCGAAGAATTTTGAGTTGCCTGCTATTCCACGATGAAAACTTCTATTTCACCTTTCTTTTCTTTTGCGTTAAGCTTATCGGTACAATCACATAAATGAAGATATAGGATTGAAATAAATTCAGCGCAATTCATAGTTTGGAAAATCAATTTTAAATGTAAGTACCGATTACAAAGATAATGGGATATACTTGCATAGTCGACAGATGCGAAATCTTAAAACCAATCGTAATCTTTCACATTTTCATCTGTTGGAATAACATAGTTAAGAATTGGGGAAGATGTAGGCATCAACAGAAACAATAGAATCACATGCCGAAGTGACCAAAAGCATAACGGAGTTCCAAAAAAACCAAATCCAGTAAACATTTTTATCATTAACAAAATGGTTCATTTGAAACAAATTAATGTAGCTCAAAGTTTTTGCTGATGTCTTTGCACAGATCATCTCTCTTCACGTAGCATCTTTATCAAAAGTTTGAAAGCACACGAATTTGTCGTTGTGCCAAGAAACTTGATGAATTATAACCTACTAATAATAGCCAATTTATGTTTGGATTCACTCATTTAAGAGTTTCAAGGGAAAACTTAATAAAAAAATGTACTTGGGTCATAAATGGCTGCCATTTTTCTTTTAAGCTGTGTAGTGTTTATGTGTTTGTAGACATGTATGGTTTTGTAAATTAATCAGTGCTAGGTTGTTGTAGCTTTTAAAACTAAAATATTGGACTCAGAAAACTCTGGCCTACGAATCAAAGTGATATTTATCTATTTAATATGTTTTTATGCGGGTAAAATTTGCAATGAAAAATATTCAATGTAAATGAAAAAAATTCAATTCTCAGAGAGTAAATTCTCCAAGGAACATAGTTACAGTTTTAATGTTTTAAGTTCTTTTACACGTGTGTGTGCGTGCGTTCAGTGTGTGCGTGCGTTCAGTGTGTGCGTGCGTTCAGTGTGTGCGTGCGTTCA